GTCTTCTTGGGTTTGTACCTAGGAGTGGAATGGCTGGGTCACATGGTAACTCTATGTTTGACCATTTGAGGAACTGCTAGACTTTTTCCCAAAGTGGCTACACTGTGTTACATTCCTGTTAGCAATGTTTACAGTTGCATTTTCTTCACATCCTTACCAACTTGTTAATATCTTTCTTTTTGATTATAGCCATCCACATGAGAGTGACGTGGTATCTATCTCACTGTGGTTTTAATTTGCATTTCCATAATTACTAATGATGTTGAACATCTTTTCATGTGCTTTTTTGGCTATTTGTATATCTTCTTTGGAAAAATGTTCATTTAGATCTTTTGCCCTTTTTTAAATTGGGTTATTTGTCTTATTATTATTGAATTTTAAAGTGTTTTACATAGTTTGGATACAGGTCCCTTATCAGATTTGCAAATATTTTCTTCTATTCTGTGAGCCATCTTCCTTCTCTGTTCAAGTTGTTACTTTGTTTAAAATATTTCTTGTTTTAATTTAAAAATACTGAACTAGAAGATTAAAAAATTAGATTTCTTCTCACAGTAAGCTTCAGTGATAGTTAAAAGAACTGTAGTTGGTTGAGTGTTTCCGTGTGCCAGGCACTGTGCTAAGTGTTTGGCATGCATTTTCTCATTCAATGCCATGAGGTAGATTCTAGGATTATTAGTGTTCTCAGTTCATAGATGAGGGAAGGAGATTTGGAGGGGTTAAGTATTTTGCTTAAGTCCCACAGCTAACAAATTGTAAAGCCAGGATTGGAATTTGTTCAGGCTCTTAACCATTGCACTATATCAAAATGTTAAAAATAATTTTGCTTCTCATTTTAAAAATCCAAATAAATAAGCAAAAAACTCTTTTGAACAAGAGTCAGTATTGACACTGACTATTAAGACGTTCTTTCTGTTCCTTTCAGCCCCATAGATGTGTAGCTTCCCCTGCCGCAGAAACTGCCATGTGTTCCTCCTCAGTAACCCAGGCAGGGCCGTGTTGAAAATCACTTGGTCACATTCCCTCTCCTTTCTTCTCTTGGCCTCTCTAATCCAGTCTGATTAATCTGCTCACATTTACCGTCTGGGGAAACAGCTTCTACGTCTGCTCACTGTCACGAAGGCCAGGTGGCTTGGCACCGGAGGTGGCCTTCTGCAGTCTACCCCCACTGTAACTTTTCTAGCCCAGCTTGCACCATTTTGCGGCAGAAGCTCTCTATCAGATCAAGTTAATCTGCTCACAGCTCGCAGCACACCGCGTTTGTGCTCATGCTCTTCCCTGTCTCTCTGCCTGCTGCCATTATTCCCACTTCTCCGAGCCCACATCGCCCATGGCATTTTCACTAGCTACCTAAGGGGCTTCCCCTGGACTCCTTCAGTGATTCTATACCATTCATATACTGCTTTTTGATTCGTATACTGCTCTTTTGTCCTGGAGTGTCACTTCAATAAGTATTTAATAATACTTTGTCTTGGGGTGGTATTTCAATCTCTCAAACCTTAATCATCTTGATTGCCCCCCATTGTGCCAAGCCCACTGGCTCAAATACAGCAATCATTGATGAATGCTTTTTTGTTAGAATTTGAAATGAATTTTTGCTTTTCTCTTTAAGACCGATGTTGTTGTGAACTCCATTCCCTCGAATCTTGCACTTAATAGAGGGCCCCTTTCTCAAGCCCTCTTGGAAAAAGCTGGGCCAGAGCTCAAGAAAGAACTGGACACAGCCGGACAAGGGGTATCTATCAGCGTGGGCACAGTTCTGCAAACCAGTGGTTGCAATCTGCACTGCCAACGGGTGCTTCACGTGGTGGCTCCGGAGTGGAGAAGTAGTGACACATCTTCACACAAGGTGGGGCCAGGTTTTAAATTCTCTAGGAAACTTGGTATCTCTTTGGACTCTCCTCGCAGTGTCATAGATTGGACCTTTTCTGTTTCTCTTCCATAGTAATGTCATATTTTTGACAGGTTCCATCATCGTGGCCATTTCTTTCAGCTGTAGCTAACTTCTCCTGAGGACTAGTTAATATATGAATTGGTTATTGTGCTCAGTAATTATTGGAGCTCAGGGAAGGGTTATTGAAGATGGTACTTCCTATGAGGAAAGCCAGACGAGGGTCTGAAGAATGGAAAAGAACAGTAGTTGCTTTGCTTCTTTCCTTTGTTGCTGAGTTTAAATCATTTTTAGAGGGCCTTTCACATTCCTTTTTCCTTTTCATGTATTTTTCTTTCCTCTTCTGACTGCTCTTAATCTCTGTTGAAAGCAAAAAGGAGTAGACAGAGATCACAGTCAACTTTGCTAAATTCGTGTCCTTTTTGGTTTAGCTCCCATTTCTAGGCGAGGTGCATGAGGATGTGCTTTGTGCTTTTCAGATCATGGAAGACATAATCAGAGAATGTTTGGAGACCACTGAGAGCTTGTCCTTAAAATCGATTGCATTTCCAGCTATAGGAACAGGAAACTTGGGATTTCCTAAAACCCTATTTGCTGAATTAATCATTTCAGAGGTGTTCAAATTTAGTAGCAAGAATCAATTAACAACTTTACGAGAGGTTCAATTTCTCCTGCACCCGAGTGATCATGGAAATATTCAGGTATGGTGTCATTCATTATTTTGACAACTGAGACTTAATGTTCTCAAATGCCTTCTTGGTCATAGGATGTTCTTTGATATATTTTCCATATAGGAAAGTAAGGAAGTAGTGTAGACTAGTTGTAGCATGACATAGTTCAAGAAGAATTATGGATATAGAAAAAATTTAACTTCTTATTCAGGAAAATTTCAAACATATACAAAAGCAGACAAAATAGTATAATGAAGTGCCTTACATCCATCGCTAGGTTTCAACAATTATCAACCTATGTCCAATTGGCTAATATGTTTCATCTCTATCTCCTTGTATTTCCCTTCTTCTCATATTATTTTGAAGCACATTTGAGACATATCATTTTATCCATAAACGATTCAGCATTTATTTTAGACAATAACAATTATTTCTTAAAAAGTAACATAATCACAATGTTAAAGCACACCTAAAAGAAATTGGCAATAATTCCTTGATTTTATTAATTATCAAGTCAATGCTCAAATGTCCGGCTATCTCTTAAATGTTTTATTTTGTTTTTACAACTTTGAGTTTGAATCAGAATCCAAATCAGGCCCATATATTGCAGTGGAGTTGACTCTATAGGATTCCCTTCCATATGGGACATAGAAATTTTAATACGTATTTAAAAAGCACAATTGTAGCCCTACCAATAGGAAAATGTCAGGATGGGCTACAAGTGAAGGGTGTAGTTAGAATGAGTCAGCGCATCCCCATGTGAGCAGGAGAGTTGGGACCAGAAACACCAGAACCATCTTCAGTCACAGGGAGCTCATCAGTCAGCCCACATTTACTGAGCATTGGCTCTGGGTGAGCCGCTGGACTCAGCATTATGGAAGCACAGGAGGCATTTAAGCCATTAACCCTGCATGCCAAGTCTTTACTTAATCCAATAGAGTAGATGACATTAAATGTTTGAAAAGTTCCATGATATTGCAAAAATTTAACAAACAGGTTAAAATCAGCAACCCAAGAGATGTTCATGGATCATTGGACCATCTGAATTTTTAGGTCATACTTTATTTTTTCCTGGAGCTAGACACTGCCTATAAGTTCTTTGTAAGCAAGCAAATCTAACTTAAATTGTAATCAGGCTGCCAAATCACCTGAGTGAAATATGTGATCCATTTACTGTCCTATATAATTGGTTACTTCTACTCAATAAAAGCTTTTTAAATAACTTCCCTATGACTTGCACTGTGCAAAGCGATGTGGATCATGGAACAGTAACACATGGAAAGTAACACATACTTTCCCTCCTATAAACCATAATTACTTTGGAGCTAGGATTTATACAGACAAAACAAACTAAAGGAGAGGTACAAAGTGCTGAATGTTTTTGAATGAATGGCTGATTGGATATGGGCGTGAGTCCTGTGACATAGACCTCAACCTTCGAATTTCACTATTTTCATGCAACCCTAGCCTTCATTTTCTTTAGATTCAGAGTACTCTGCAAGTATTCTGTAAAAAGGATTAGTCTGTACAGACACGTTTAATGCCATTCGAAATAATACTAATTCTCTACACATGGCTGTTACACTTTTTCTCTTAAGACTTTTAAAGACAGTTAAACTTTGGTTATATTTTCACAAAAAATCAACAAAACTTATTGAGATGTTTATTAGTGGAGACTGTAACAGAGGTAGCTAAACAGCAGCCCATGGTTTGAATATGACCTCTAAATATGCTTTATTTGGGCTATTTTAAAAAAATTTAATCTGTTGCTAACATTTAAAAATAAAAAATGTTACATAAAACTCCAGATGTCCACTATGACCTAAAATTTCAAAACGTCTGGCACATTTGACATGGATTCCGACTAGGAACAGTTTGCTATGATTGAGTAGCAAGGTGCTTTCTAGTACTCCAGAGTCAACTCGGTCCACCTTGACACACGTGCCTGGTTACCTGCCTGGCCCCTGGAGGCTGTGAGTCTGAGACCCTCGCTCTTCTGTCTGGGTCCTTCTCCCATCATCGCATCAGTCTTTAGCCACTCAATTTTTTTCCTATCAAAATTCTCTTAACACTAGATTTTACAATTGGCAAGCTATTTGCTTTTACTGATTATGAAGGTAATACATGTTTATTGTAAAACTCCAAACAATACAAAATGCATAAATTCTTCAGTTGTATTTTATGCCAGTCTTCTTTTCTACTTGTGTACTTCTTAAAGTCAGATTATATAATATGTAATTTAATATCCTTCTTTTTTCATTTAATAGTATAAAATGACCATTTCCCTATTTCATTAAACATTCTTTGAGAATATGGCTGCTAAATATTCCGACTCATGGATATAACAAAATTTATGTACTAGTTCTTATTGAATTTTTAAGTTTTATTTTTTTATTTATTATGAATAGCACTCTAATGAATATCCTTGTATTTCTATCTTTGTTCACACCTTTGATAATTTTCATAAGACACATTTGCAGAAATAGTAATATATGTATTATTTGCATAACTTGAAAAATCTGTAATGAAATTAATACTGTTTGAGAATTGTTCTCTCCAAAATATGTATGTACGCATGTAGAATCACAAGTCCTGATGAGTCAAATTTATTCAGGAATATAATGGTCAAAACCATGTTTATATTTTCAGGCATTTTCAGATGAATTTGCCAGGAGGGCTAATGGAAATCTCGTCAGTGATAAAATTCCCAAGAGAGAAGATACACAAGGTTCAGTAAAGCTTTTAAATTGAGAAATGATTTCTAGTTGGTAATTAACTATTCAGTGACAGATAAAAGATGATAGTGATGATTTTTTGAAAAAATCCAGTGAGTGGTAAGATACCGAATTGTGTCCCATATACCTGATTAGAGATGCAAGACACTGGCCATGTTTATGTAATCTGGAGCAAAAGAAAGGGTGGCCAACTCATATCATCTGTCTAGTGGGTTTTAAATAGTGACAAAATGACTATTTCCTAAGGATAATGTGACATGTAGTTTTAAAAATAGACAAATTTAGAGAATACTAATAAATGCTTTACCTCTGTCAAATTTGTCGTTGCTACATTTGCATTTATCCTGTTTCGGGTTCACTGATGCTTCTCGAATATATAAATGTATGTCTCCGTCAAATTTGGAATTCTTTTTTTTGAGACAGAGTCTGCTCTGTTGCCCGGACTAGAGTGCCGTGGTGTCAGCCTAGCTCACAGCAACCTCAAACTCCTGGGCTCAAGCAATCCTTCTGCCTCAGTCTCCCAAGTAGCTGGGACTATAGGCATGCGCCACCATGCCTGGCTAATTTTTTCTATATATTTTTATTTGTCCAGCTAATTTCTTTCTATTTTTAGTAGAGACGGGGTCT